CAGCTGAAACGAGATAAACCTGGTGCCGGCCAGTGAGAGAAGACAATGCAGAGAGAAAATGAATGAGAGAGAGGTGGGGATGCGAATATGGTGATTACGATGACGATGGTAATGGGGATGGTGATGGTGGTGCGGGGTGATCACCGCCGGTGGTAGTGATTATCGATGATGACTTCACCAGCGGGCAATGCTGATGCTGATGATGGCGCTGGCGCTGGTGAATCAGCTGTTGTTGTTGTGCTGACCATGCACTTCTTCCACTGCTCCGTTGCAATCAGTGTGTCGGGAAAAGGCTGCAGCCTGCAGCCCAGTCGTCCGCCGACCACACAAAATGTGCCTGTGTGCTAGCGGCAGCGATGTCAGTGGCAGAGTGCAGCACTCTGTGTCTGAATCAGCTGAGCTGATGCTGTCGCTGATTGCCCGCCAATTTCATTAGCTGCCGACAATGCTCTGCCCGTGGTGACAATTCCCCCCTCCCGCCAAGCCGGACAGTGGTGTCCACCGAAAGGGGAACAACCCGTTTTATGTCGAAATAATTTAGAAATGTGTCATACACTCGCTCGCTCACTCACACTCAAGCAATCAATGGTACAAGAGCAATGCAATGGTCTTTCATCAATCTCATCAGTGCTTTGATCTTTATTGAGGAGGTGAATGGTTGGTGTTGTTTTTGTTTCTTTGTTCTTGCAGTGCACATCACCACTCGCTGGACCGGGACTCACTTGCTGCTGTGTGCACTGACACTTGAAAAAACTGCTCCTTGCGGGGTTGACCAGACCTATTTGGCGATGCTCACCTTCGGCGACTTGATTCCACTCCAAAATTCCTTGAACTCCTTCACCACGGTAGCCCTGTGTGGAGAGAGAAAGAAGTGATAACAGAGTGTGCTTTCTGGAGTGTACTACAATGGCCATTTTTGTTGAAAAAGAAGAAGAAGAAAAGGCCAAGTCTGCGCCACAGACCGCAGCAAAGACTTGTCGCCGTCGATCAAGCATCTCACTTCATCATCATCGTCGTCGTCGCCCAAAGTGTGTCAACTTTTTGTTTGTTCACACAGCTGCTGCTACTCAAACCTGTTCTCCAAACTGTCCTGAGACAACATTTGCCCAATTGCTAAATGTGCACTTGCACTGGACAGTGGCAACTACTTTCGGGGGGAGCCAACTGTCTTCAAGAGCCAGCTCGTCCTTATCTTCTCCGAAGATTTGGCAAATCTCCTTTTNCAGTGGCAACTACTTTCGGGGGGAGCCAACTGTCTTCAAGAGCCAGCTCGTCCTTATCTTCTCCGAAGATTTGGCAAATCTCCTTTTTCTCTTTCTCTCGGGAGTTGTTTTGTTGTTTTTACCGCTGCTGAACACAAATCTACGCAACTAAAGTAGAAGCGCTGATTTGATGATTGCGTGAAACCTGCTCATTTGAAAGTATCAGAGGGTCCATCTTTTCTCAGAAAGAACACATCGCCAATCGATCGAAAGTTCTCCTACCACTGAAAAGTTCGAAAGATCTCCGCCGTGAAGATACTCACTTGAACTCAACGTTGCCCTTGTGGTTGTCCGGGGCAGTCCAGGTGAAGGTCACCTTGTTCTTGTCAGTGTTGTTCGAGTGGGTGATGGCGTTCTACAGAAGTGAAGTGAAGAGCTTTTTAGAACTTAGGGGATGAAAAGCGTCAAGTANGCAGTCCAGGTGAAGGTCACCTTGTTCTTGTCAGTGTTGTTCGAGTGGGTGATGGCGTTCTACAGAAGTGAAGTGAAGAGCTTTTTAGAACTTAGGGGATGAAAAAAGACAAGTACTTACCGAAGAGCCGCAGCTGACCAGAGTGGTCTTGTCCGCCTTGGTGAACTTGCCAATCTTGTCGTTGGAGTCGACCGCCGTGGCGAAGACGATGAAGCCCTTGAATTTGGCATTGTTCAGCCCGGACAGCGTCACCGTCACCGTCGACTTGCCGTCCTTGTCCTTGCTCACCCCCGAGGTGGTCAGTTTGTAAGGGGCAGTGCCCGTCTGCTCCTTGTTCTTCGCGTGCTTCGGAATCAGCGAGGAGCACTTCGGCGCTCCGGAGGGGTAGGCGGTGCTGAGGAGGACCAGACTGGAGGTGGCCACCACGGCGAGCACCAGCAGGCTCTGACTGAAGGAGTTCATGGTGGAGGTGATGGTAGTGGTGATGGTGATGGGGACGGAAAGTTGGTGAGAAGGAGAAGATGGTAGGAGAACGGAGAA